TGATGATCAGTTTCTGGTTCTCCAGTCCTCTTTTCTGGATGTTTGGCACCAGGCGCTTGAGTTCTTTCCAGGCGACCATGGAGAGGTAGGATCCGGAGTCTACCTCCATCCGGCATGGTTCGCCCTCGATGCTCACCTCCACGTAGACCTTCCGGGCATCCGTGGTTTCGGCATGGCCGATGGTGACCGTCTGGTGGGTTTCTTCTCTCTGCCGGCCTTCCCCGCTCCGTCGTCCTCGGTTGTCTCGGTTCCAACGATAGTCGGCTTGGCGATCTCTGGTTCTCGGGGGGGTGTCGTCTCGTCCCCGGTTGCTTGGTTCTCGCCGGCGGGGGCTGTGTGTCTTTTTGAGTCGGCAGACTCGGGCGATGTGGCCCTTCTTGTTGCACTGCCGGCAGATCGCGTCGATAAAACGGCACTCGGATCGAAAGTGGTTTCCCCCGCACCCGGCGCACTGGTTCCCCGACTTACGACCCCGTTGATCTCGCCGGTCCCGTCCTGTTTGTAGTCGGTGGACGTCTTCCTCCTCGTCCGTGGTATCGGAGGCGGAGTCCAGGTCCCCGTGGTGTGTGGTGGTTTCTCGTCGGCTTGTCTCGGGGGTTTCAGTGTGGTCCCCGTTGTCTGCCCTCCGAAGTCTGGCTGCTGACTTCCGGGTGGCTTCGGCTGCGGAAGCTTCGGCCAGGGCGTCCCCGAGGTCGATGTTGCCTTTCGCCATCAGTCGACTTTTTAGTGCCTGATCCCTGAGGCCTAGGACCACGCGGTCTCGGAGGACATCGTCCAGGTCCCTGAACTCGCACATCCCCCCTAGGTCTCGCAAGGCGGCTATAAAGTCGCTAATGCTCTCGTCCTGCCGCTGGTTTCGCCGATAGAACTCATCCCGCCGGATGAGGATGGGCACAGCGGGGGCGTAGTGGTTCCGAAGGAGTGGCTCGAGATCGGCCCAGTCCATCGCCTTCACGTCCTCTGGCTTCGCGAGGGCTTTGGCCATCTTAAACACTGCGGGCCCGCAGTGTGTGAGGAAGACGGCCCTTTTCTTCTGCCCGTTCGCATCCTTCAAATTGCTACTTTCGAGGAACATCAGGAATCTATCCGTGTACGATTCCCAGTCCTCGGTAGCGGGGTTGAAGGGTGCCGGTGGGGTCATGCTGGCCATCTCGTCGGTCCTTTGTCTTCCTCGGGACACGTGCTCGGTGGTTATTCTCTGGATCCCATCCTCGTCGCCAGTGTCGTGTCCGTCGAGAAAGGAAGCTCGGAGTCAGTGACTTGGTTCAGCTCTTTATTGGCTCCTGATACAGCTTAAGCTTGAAGGGAAAAACTGCGGCTTTTTATTCTCGAGCCGCGGCGGTCGCGGCCAATGACACCGCTTCGAATCTCCCGCGATTAGTTTCCACCAATCGCGGGGGATTCGCAGCGGACCAATCAGTGCGGCTCGCTCGACCAATCCGGTCGCCGTGCGCCTTAACCAATCGCGACGCGGGGCTACGAGTATGTAAATTGACTTGTACAGAACAAAAGGAATGAGTAAATCATTGGATTATAAATAAAGTGGGAATAATACTTTGTTGAAAACTTTTTTGTGATATCCTAAGATTGTCATGATCTAGGAAAAAGTTATATGGAATATTAATCTGACTTTGTGATAATATTTAATATTTTTGACTTTTATATTCTTTTGAACTACTGGTATGTACTTACTAGATGGTAGTGAATAGTGGATATGAAAATATATCCTCCATATCCTTTATATTAATAAGAATCTAGCTCTACAACATTGGAAGACAAACGCATACCCTCAGTCACTCAGTGTATTGAATATCTAATAGTAGCCGTAATTTATGAGGCCTGGACTTAGATTTATGGATTTACCAGATACCAACCTTCACTATCTATTATGGCCTTGGTCAATCACACATTTTTTAGAAACTTAAAGAGATAAACCAGGATTTATTTATCACATGAATTATTTTATATACTTAGTTGTTGTGACTCCGAGACTTGAACCTGATCAGTCAGCAGATGTGGGTTCGAGTGATGAAGAAGATCTGGCACTGAGATTCGAGCCTGCATTATTAAGTGACTTAGAGGGGAGTCAAGTAGAGGGAGAGGAGTTGGATTTGAGAGATGAACCTGATTTATTGGAGGATTCAGAGTCCACTCTCTCCCCTGAATCTACTTCCCTAATTAAACCTCAGGTGTTAACTGTTAATCAGGAAAGTGAATTTTGCCTTGGAAAGACTTGTGTCTGATTACTGCGTTGTGATTTACGAACTATACAGAATTGCCGGACAGAATCTAGAAGGATTGCCAAAGGACTGTGATAACAGAGCAATTGAATCTTCTGTCTCTGGTTTTGTTTACGTAAAGTATTTGAACTCTGTAACTTGAAGTTTTCATCTGTGGATACAGGTGGGACAGAACACTTAGTACCATTATCACAAATTTCAGCATAGGGCTGCTGGTCAAGAATTATATTCTTGAGGATAAATCTTAAAATCCTAAGGGACTTAGATCAAGTAATCTCCAAGAATGGGAAACCAAACTTGGGAAATATGCAACTACGGCAAAATTAACAGTATACATTCAGAAGTCTGATTACATTTAAGCAAAAATTTTCCCCTATTCAGGTGGCCCTTGACTTATAATCATTCATTTAGTGACCATTCAAAGGTACAATGGCACTGAAAAAAGTGACTTATAATCATCTGTTCTTACTTGCAGCATCCCCATTGTCAGGTGATCAAAACTCAGGCGCTTGGCAACTAGCATGTATTTATAATAGTTGCACTGTCCGTAATTTTCCCAGCTGATTTCCAACAAGGAAAGTCAATAGATGTTCCAAAATTAATTTTCCAAAAGGCAAGTGGACTTTGTTTTTTTCTTTGACAATATTTTGCTTCTCGTCCAAGAAACTTTCTCTTCAGAAAGTGGAACGGCTTCAAAGAAAAAAACAAAAAAGTCCACTTGCCTTTTGGAAAAACACCTTTGAGACAACCATGACCTGGTTGATTAAGAATTTCCATAGACAAAGTTAATCAGGGAAGCCAGATTTGCTAATGACCAAATGATTAACTTTAACAACTGTAGTGATTCATTTAAAACTGTAGCAAGAAAGGCCATAAAAGGGAGCAAAACTCACTTAACAACTGTCTTTTGGGCTCCAATGTGGTTGTATGTCAAGGACTACCTATATACGATATGTCATACAACAAGGCAAACACAAGACACTTCACATATGGTTCTTAAGGGGGGTAATAACTGACGTTAAGAAACTAATTGGAAATAATTTCAATCTTCAGAAAGGTGTTGTAATCATCAGCAGGTTACTGCTATATTATTTGTGTTACCATTTCAGTGAAACAATTTTCAGCCACTAATCCATTCTTGCAAACTGCTGGTCACGGGACATCAAGCAGACATCAAGCAGACTCTGGCTATCTCTTGATGCAAATATGGATACTCTGATAAATGCTGGCTTCCATTTTCGATGACTGATTTTGAAAAAAAAATAAGCAGATTCAGGCCTTGTTAATATTTGAATGGGAGACTACCAGAAATTTTAGAGTTAATAGATCATACTAAGTTGTAAAAAAAACAAACAGAAAAAGGCAATGGGAAACCTCTGCTGTATTCATATATTAAAAAAAGCATATGTCCATGCACATATAGTCCTCAACTAACAACTATTCATTTAGTGACTGAAGTTATAATGGCACTGAAAAAAAGTGACTTGCTTGGCAACTGGCATGTATTTACGTCAGTTGCAGTGTTCTGGGATCATGTGATCACCCTTTGCAGCCTTCTGACAAGCAAATACAATGGGGAAAGCCAGATTCACTTAACAACTGTGTTACTAACTTAACAACTGCAGTAATTCACTTAATAATTATGGTAAGAAGTCATAAAATGGGGCAAACTCACTTAACAACTGTTTTGCTTAGCAATGGTAATTTTGGGGTCAATTGTGGTTTTAAGTTGAGGACTATGATTACTCTAGTTACAAGAACAGGAACTTTCCTTTTTACAAGGGACCTATATAATGGACCAGTGCCAGTTTGGTATACAGGTAATCCTTAAGATCAGTTGCTTGGCAACCATTCAAAATTATGAAAAAACTATTTATAACCCAGATTCAAAGTTCCAATGGCCACCAATCTCAGCAGACACAACTGGCCTGCATTCATGGCCTTTTGCAACACCCCAGTCACATACTGTAACTACAATTTATGATATTTCAGCCAGAAACCGGTATTTACTTCTGGTTTCTTGCAAAACAACGCCCCATTAAGCGGGTTTGCTTAATGACCACCACAAAAATAGTTGTTAATTCAGGCATGGTCACTGGCAACCCACATAATAGTCATGATTTACAAGCAAACTTGCATGCTCAATTACACATGTAGTCGAAGATTACCCATAGTGGTTAAGGCATCAAACTTGGGAGCCCTCAATTCTAACTCTGCTTTATGCACGAAACCAATTAGGTGATCTTGAACCAGTCACTTTCCCTCAGCCCTAGGAAGGAGGCAATGACAAACCACTTCTGAAAAAATATCTTGCCAAGAAAACTGCAGGGCGTCTCCAGAAATTGAATATAATTGAATAGGGAAAAAATATCTATCCATCCATATATCAAAACGTGAATTACTGGAAAGTTTCTACCTGATTTTGTATTTATATTTTTATTTAACTTGCTGAACTGTTTATCTTTAGGTTTCAAAGGGCCAGGGGAAGAAGGTCCATTTCAAACTTTATGTACGTTGAAATGCGGCTATATGGCCAAATAACCGGCGCTTTTTCGTGTTTTCTTTTAAAAAAACCTCAAGCACTTCCTGAATACTCAAACCGGTATCTTCTTGGAGCGACTTTCGGTGGACCTGTTTTATACACAACTCTTCCCTTCCCGCGCCTGGTTTTGACAGTTAAACCGCCTTTCCCGCTTCCCCTTCGCTAGAGCGCATGTGACTCGCCCCCAGTCTCTCCCCATGCGCCCCCCTCCCCCCCCCCTTATCGCTTGTGATCTCTTGTCCCGCCTCTCATTCTCTGGCAGGTTTCTGATTCCTCCGGTTTGGGTTTTTCTTCTTCCCTTCGTGCTTCACGTGGCTCTACAGATGGGACTCAGGATTGGTCAAGCTTTGGGGATTATCCGTCCAACAGCCAATGGGTGCATTCTACCCGCCCGAATCCAAGATGGCGGCTCTGGGGACTGGCAAGGGGACCCCGGGAAGGAGGAGGTGAAACGGTCTCGGCCGGAGGATTCGGGCCCCATCGCTCCGGGTTGTCCCCTCTCGCTACCGGGCCAGCGAGGGTCTCGGCCTCTGCCCGAGGCATGGCTGCGGAAAGCAACAAGCAGTTCTGGAAACGGAGCGCGAAGCTACCGGGCAGGTGAGCAAAGGAGGCTCCGTCCTGGCATCGATGCCGACCGATCCGTTTGTTCCCCGGGGAGGAGGCGAGGTTGACTTAGCGAAGCCGGCTTGGCTTCTAGTTTTTGTCGCCCTTCGTTTCTCGGAAGTGCGGTGAAGGGTCCAGCCTTGCTGCTCCTGAAGCGAATAGTTGCTTCAGCCGGTCGCTCCTGTGGATGGAGAAGGCATAGGAGAAGAGGGAAGTGGGAGAACCCTGGAGGTGGTCTGTAGCAGGGGATTCCCTCTTGCCTGGCATCGAGGGCAAGAGTCGGGTCTTTCCAGTCGTGGGGCTGCCTCGCTTCATCGGCAGCATCTCGCAGTCCTGCCCTTCTTTTGCCACTCGGGAGACGTGACGCGCCCGGTCTTTTAAATCAAAAGTGATGGAGCAACTAATTCGAGCGGTTCTCAGGTTCCAAACCCGCCTCCGGGAATCCGATGCCCTGGTCACCTCTGCCTTGCGGGCCGCGTTGGTGGTTAGGGAGGCAGTCGAGGTAGCGCTTTAGACAGGTGCAGAGCGTGCCGCTTTCCCCGAGAAAGTGAAAAGCCGCCCGCGTCTTCATTGGTGTGTAGGCTGATCGGTTTTCATCTGTGTGCAATGCTTACTAGGCCAATGCTTTTTGCGGGAGAGTTCAAGTTAAAGTTGAAATAAAAACCCGAATTAATCAACCATGCTTAAACCGAACGAATGTGTTCGGTCGGCTGTAGAGCAATGGTTAGAAAACTTTTCCCTATCATCAGCCCAGAAAGTCGTCCGGAGAACTTCCATGACATAAGGCTGGAGCAGAAGACACGAATTTTCAACTTTCTTAGGAAAGTTATTCCATTTTTAAAGATGCAACTAGCCTCTGTTGTAACCCCTCACCCATAAAACTTAAGCAGGAAGCTCTAATATTTGAATCGTAAGGAATTGAGAGGAATATTTGTCCCCTTATTTCTCTTCCTCCTCTCATAAGCCCTATGTAAGGGGTGCTAAACAAATATACTGTGCTTTTCTTTTATCTTCTTCAAACTAATGTCTTTCTAGCAGAGTTTGGGCTCTTGTTAAAATGTATGCATACAGAAACTTTCAACGGTTTTCACATATAAGATCATATTCTTGAGCATCTTTTTGATAACTTCCTCTTTTACTACTTTGGGTGTAGAGGAACTTGAGCATCAGCAGCGGAATATTTTCCAATATTTCAAAAATTTGGAATATCCCAATATTTTCTCCTTAATTATATTATTTAGATTGTGAGATTTGATTAGATTACTCCCTTTCACTAATTAAATGGAAGAAAACTGCACTTTTTTTTTTCACTCTTAAAGGAATTAAGAAACAATGAATTGACAAAATCAGAAATAAATATGCCACTGAGAAAAGTGTAGGGAAACTAAGAAGCAGCCTTCATGGATAGCAATTTAAGGCAAAAGCTGTATGGTTCATAGACTGGTCCTCTAATCTCATCTTGATCATGTAACTAACTACCACTGTAAAGTGTCTGGAATGCTTTGCTAGCTTTAAATTCTTCCTAAGTAGGTAATTTTTGTTTTTATCTTTATTTCTCTGGCTATAAGAATTGGACAATTCAGAAGTCTAGGAACATTGCAGATCAATATTGTATAATATGTGTGTTTGAAAAGAAACAATATTTTTGTAAGTGCAGTAGTAGCGTTTTGTTTTTGGCTGTCTTATCATACTGCCACATACTGCCACATCCTGCTTGCATATAATTCTGCCTTTCTGTGAAACAGCTTTCATCTACAGTTTGAAACAGTAAAGTTGACTCAACCAGCTAAACTGGTTTGAGCAAAGGCAAATGAGCCAACTTGAACCTGAGCCAACCAGTAAATATAAACTTCTTCCATTTTTGATGTGAGTACTTTGCAACATCATCAATGCTGTGATATCTCACACCAGCAGAAGGGAGTGCAAGGTTTCCCCTTTATTATTTTATGAAGCCTTGAAGTTTGATAATTTTTATCAGATAATAGTTGGTTTCTACAGGATTTCCAAACACAGCTATCTTACTCCTCCTAGAGTTGTGCAATATGAATGTGCATAAATTGTTTATAATAAACATAGTTTGCAATTTTGTACACATGTTATGTATAGGGTAGAAAAAAATGAGCATATGATTTGTTCCCCATCAGGCAGTTAGTTCCAGACTAAGCAGGAAAATAAATCACTTGGCATACATAGAGCTCCGTCAGCCTTCTGTTAAATCTGCTAAAAGGGATAGAAGAGATATTTTGATTTGGGCTAAAATGTTGTGGAAACTAGCAAAAAGCTGCTTATTAAAATGGGAAATCGCGTCCACATGACTTCTTGGCACCAAGTAAAGGAGAAGTATTTACAATGGGTTGTCAATTCTGTTCCTGCTTTTCTTTTAGCTTACTGAATTGGTTCTTAAAATTCTGCATAGTTTTGTCATTGTACTCCTCTGTTTCAGTGTGTTATGCTCTAGATAAATTACATTCATGATACTCAATTGTATATCTCTGGCCTTATCTATCCAAGTGAAACTGTCAAAAGTCTCTGGAAAGTGTTGAGGATCTGGATGGGGAAACAGGTTGTGCCTGAATCTTTCCATGGCAGAATGATTCTGGATTCTGGATGTGAATGTTTCCACCTTTCATTCTAAACTGGGTTGGCACTACCTCGTTCAGACTTGATGTGCAACCTGGAGGCCTCAAACTCTTGCCCTAAGAGCAAGTAGCAGCAGTAGCCCAGAGGTCTTTTGCACAGCTATGTCTTTTGCACCTGTTGGATTCATTCCAGGAATGTTCACTCACACTTTAGTCACCTCCCAATTGGACTACTGCAACATATGGACTGCTCTTGAAGACCATCTAGAAGTTTCAATTGCAGCAGCACAGGTAGTTATGGGTGTAGTTCATTTAGCCCATATAATACCACTATTCCATATGCTGCACTTGCACATATTAGGCTCCTGAATGTGATTCAAGATGCTGAGTTAGTTGTGGGATTGTCTTCTCCCGAGAACATCTATCCATTCCACATGCTCCCATAGGGAGAGCATGCTCCAAGTTCCTGCTTTTAAACTTTCCCATCTCACAGTATTTTCATGCCTTTTTAAATGACTGTCTATATTCTCTGGAACAATCCCCCCTCCCAATTCTTTTGCCTTAAGACCCCAATTCTTTTGCCATAAAAAAGCAGTTAAGATCGGGCTCCCGCTCCCCTTGCGGAGGCCTTTGGTGTCCAATTAAGTAGAATCCCTTTCTGATTGCTTAATTATCAAATTAAGTCACCATTTTTCTTTTATATACTAGCTGGTTTATGTTGTGTGGGGTTGGTTTATTGAATAAGCCATAATGGTCTGGTTCTCTGTGTAAACAAAGCCAAAGCGATTTTTAATTTTTTTAAAAACTGTTTCTGTAATATAGTACTTCTCATGTCAAAAGGCAAGATTTGTGCATTAGTTGCTATATAAAGCACCAAACCCAGCCACTCTAATATTATGACTGGAGTTGAAGACTTGTTCTGCATTTAACTCTTAATCTTTCAGAACCTTAATTTCATATTATCATAACAGTTCAAAATAAATATCTGGGCTCCTGTTAAAAGAACTACCCTTCAGCTCTGAATTATTATGAAGCTTTGAGGATGTTGAAGTTGTTCCTGTAGTTATTGAAGTACAGTATGGTTATTTTCAGTGTTATATGTTGCATTAGTGCAAGGAAGACCCAAATTCAGATTCATCTTTAGCCATCAAAGCTCACTGGCTTATTTTGGGCTAAACCTAATCTCTCAGCCCATTCTGTCTCATAGAAACATTGTTATAGAGCAGAATGGTCAAACTCCCAGCGCAGACGCTGGATGTGTCACACGCTGACAACGCCCACGCCCAGTTTAGCAAAGGGGGGAAAAGTCCCGATACATCACATGACGCCATTGTGACGACATGAGTTTGACACCCCTGTTAGAGGAAAATTGAGGTTGCCCTGAACTCTTGAAGGAAAGGCAGAATATACATCTAATATTGGTTGTGTGTCTTGTCTCTTTCACAGTATTCAGCCTGTTTATGGAGCTCAGCATCCTCCACTGGACCCACGGCTCACGAAAAAGTAAGTACTTTTTAATGCTTTATTTTTTATCCCATTTTACAACTTTTTTTGCCATCATTTTTCAGCAAGTCACTGTAGTTGTTAAGCGAATTTGGCTTCCTCCATTGACTTTGCTTGTTAGAAGCCAGCTGGGTGGGTTATAGATTGTGATTACATGAGCCCTGGATACTGCAACTATCATAAGTACATGCCAGTTGTCAAGCACCCAAATTTTGATCATGTGACCATGGGGATGCTGCAACAGTCATAAGTCTGAAAAACTTTTTTCGGTGCCATTGTAACTTGAACAGTCGCTAAATGAATGTCTGTAAAACAAGGACTACCTGTATGTTGTAAAATGGCAAATTATTCTACCTCGTCTACGAGAAGGCACTTTTACAATAGGAAAACATATTGCCTAGGTTGATGATGTTCTACTGAAGTACTTGGATACTATATTTGAACCATCAGTACTCCTTTGAGGTTTATATTTTGCTTCCTTGAAAAAACTATTGGCCATTAAGTGGAGGACATATAGTGAACTGATGGTTTAACTATTAAATCATTATGGGATGTTACATCTCCTTCATAATCATTGCCCTCACTGAGACAGGAAACAATTCTATGCTAATTTGTAAAGGGAGAGGAACAGGTAGCGTTTCAAAAGGGCAGTGACATACAAAGTGCAGTTTTAGTGTCAGTCTGCTTCGCATGATTTTTTTCTAGGTGCAAGCAATATGAGGAATGTAAAGGGATATATTAGACTGATCAAAATATTTGATTGAAATATTGACTTAGACATTTAGAAGCAGTCCAGTTTTGCTTGGTCTGTTTCAGAGATACCTGATTCAATTTGGTTCCAGCTGTTGATCCTAATTTGGAAATAGGGGATATTATGTCTCCATTAATTATCATCATTTGGAAATCAACACAGGTATTACTTGATTGTTGTTTAACATCAAATTTGCAGATCTAGTAGTTCCTTTTAAGGAGATGACGTTTGGCAATTCCTATATAAATAGGTGTGTGGGGATTTTGTATAAGAGTAGCATTTTCCCCACAGAGAGATTTTCTTATCCTTTGTTTTTATTTGGCAAGAAGAGGCTGAATTTTTACAAACGAAAGAGTGGAAAGGGGAAAACCTGCAAAATTTCAGACTTGAATTAGTATTTATGTTTAAATGAATTAAGCATTAACTAGATTGTTAAAGATTGTCACATTTACATAGTTGAATATGATTGTATGAAGAAATTTGAAATATTCATTTCATAAATATAAACATTCTATGCTGATTTACTTTTGTGTTTGTTTGTTTGTTTTTTACTTTTGGCTATCCTTAAGCTATATTCATTCACACTGATATCACTTAACCTATTGCCTTTATATTATGGACTATACAACATTAAGTCATCTATTATAAATCCTTATCTCTGCTTCCGTGAGGGAAAGGGTCAGGTGGGATTTAAGAAGGCCAAAGACATGCATAGGCCAATTTTAGTGTCAATCAGGATAAGGATGATTATTTCAAGAATATTAGCTATGAACTTTGAAGCGGTTGTATTGGAGTCATTGAATTTAGACTGTACATTATTGATTACTATATGAACGATGAAAATATAGGTCTATATATCTATCTAAGTTATTAGTGTACCATTCAGGTGGGAGGAGGGATAATAACTTTGTAAATAACTGTTGAAAAGATCAGAAGTCATTTATTTCTTCACCTTTGTTTCTCTTTCTGTCTTTGTTACTTTTGTTCCTTGTAACTTTTCTTTTTTCTATTTCTTTTTCTTTGGATTTATATTTCATTGTATGAAAAATTCTTACTAAAATTTATATTTTAAACAAGGGATTTAACCACTTTTGTTTTGGAATTTTCAATGGAGACAATATGCATAACCTTCTCAGACTATAGGCTGTGATCCATTGATTTAATACATTCATTTTAATCCTTAAATAATAAAGCCTAGAGTGAGGAAAGATGGTTGAGAATTTCAGGGGGAAAAACCATTGTTATCCTAGAGCAATATTTCTCAACCTTGGCCAGTTGAAGATGGGTGGACTTCAATTCCCAGAACTCCCCAGCCAGCCATGCTAGCTAAGGTCGAGAAACACTACCTAGAAATCAGTGTCAGTGATACGTTTCTCCTTTTATGTTGGTCTTTGTACAGTGATTGGCTAAATTTGGTATTTTATTTGTTCCTGTTATTGACATCTACTTCTGGATTATTATGCAACTATTTAGAATTTACGTCCACTTGTCAGTTTAGTTAACATCATTTTGTATTAAAAATTTATGACTGAAAAAGTACATGTGAGGTCCCTTTGCCTCTTTTTTTTTTAAGCAAAGATTAATGGAACTAATGGGGGTTCAGTACCATCATTAGCTTTGGATTATTGGTAGGGATTCCTGATGTATTCTAAAAGAAATTCCGTTTTTTGCATTTTAAATTCCATTTGATCTGCCTTACTTTCTTAGAATTCATTTAGGTTTCTTGGTCTAAATAGACAAAGACTTTATTCTGGGTTATTTGATGCTAGGATTATGATTCATGTAACTGAAAATAAAGCAAGTGAAAGTTAACAGTGTTGTTCAAACAAAGGATTAATTGTGTCTTTATTCAATATGCATGTTATTTTGGGCAGTAGTATATTAACATTTCTATTTTCACATGTCTTATATATGTGTGGTTTATACTTTAGTATTCTACTTACATAACATAAAACCAGAGTTTTACTTTGCTTATCACACAGGAGGTTTCATGGATAACATCATGGACTTAGGCAGAAATATTTTGCTTCTTGTCTGCTCAGTCTATAAAGTTCTGGCTTAGAATTTAAAATTTGTATTTGGTGAAGATTGCCTAACATTATTTTCCATTCTTTGTTCTTTGGCTCATTGAAAGGGAAGGGAAGAAACCGTGGGATGGAGGGAGAGCAACGGATACATTAAATGAAAATGATGAATAAAGATGATCATAGGCAAGGAAATTTTGTATATCACAACTGCGTGCAATTCTCAATACAGTGTGTCACTTTACTTTTTTTTTTAGCTTCATCAAGGAACGCTCCAAGATCAATACGCTATCTATGAAAAATAAGAAGGCCAGCAGTTTTCATGAGTTTGCTCGGGACACCAGTGATGCGTGGGATATTGGGGATGATGAAGATGAAGATTTCTCATCTTTCCAAACATTGAACTCTAAAGTGGCCAAAGCCACAGCAGCACAAGTCCTGGAAAATCACAGCAGGCTGCGTATGAAACCTGAGTGGCCCCAGGCAGCTCTTAGTGATGCACCAATCAATTGTAAAGTCATCAAATCCAATAGTGAGGCCCAGCTATCCAGAGGACCTGGTATGTTGCTTGTGGCTCTTGGCTTTTTTTCCAGTGTATTCCCATCACATTTGTGAGAGTGAACACTGCAGTTCTGTACAAATGCTGCATTTGTAGGCAAACGCAGAATGTAGGCAAACGCAGAATGGAATATTCTTAAAACCTTCAATCTGTTTTAGCCAAGAAATGCATTTTTTTCCCTTATGGATGAAGAAATAGCCTTTTATGTGTGTGGTTAATTCCTGATGAAATCTTGAAAGCTGGTGATTAGTTAAGTACAGTATCCCAGGAAACAAGACTTTCATGCTTTTTAAAAAACTTTTTATTTTGCCCCATATTTATCAGAAACAGAATACATTGATGCAGATATATAAACAATTCCTTGAATTTTGTATTTATTTATGGACTTTGGTTACAATATATTTGGGTACTAGACAAGGTGAATCCTGGGATCTGATTATGTACTGTAGTTGGTAGATCTTGGCTTTACTAACCGGTGAAATTATAATGGTTTATTGTAAAAGTTTGTTCCTTTGCAGAGCACGCATAGATCTGATACGCTCTTACGAACAGTGGTTAGTGTATCTGTTAGTCATGCTTAGTAACTGATATCAAGCATAGCCATCGCATGTTTATTGGAGGTTGGGAGAGGATGAGTCTGCTCTTTCTGTAAATAAAGGCCTTTTGGTTAGTGAACTGGTACTCAAAAAATGTTTTGAAACTTTTGGAAAGAACATAGAGTTTTGACCACAGAATTGTGATATTGCATGTGAGATATGAGTGTAAAATGTACAGCCTGAAGTCATCATGCACCCTTGCCAGAGTTCTTTTTGTGTTCCATTCCCCAATTGACCAAAATGTTATGACAGCTTCTTTGGTGGCTTTGGACTTTAGGAAAGTTCAGAGGATAAAATCAGTACCTTAATCTTTATAGGTACACTAGCGCACAGGTGTCAAACTTGCAGCGTCACGTTGCCGTCACATGGCGTTTCGCCATGTTTTCCCCATTTGTGGAGCTGGGGTGGGCGTGGCCTGCGCATAACGCATCCAGCCCACAGGCCACCAATTTGACACCCCCCCCCCCGCCCTAGAGATACCCATTTCACCTTGCAGAGTCCCTGAAATTCCCCTTGAAACGGGTTCTGCCACAAAGCCTAATGGCATCCTCAAGCCAGAAATTGTACACTCCAAATATTAATCAAACAATTAAATTAATGCATGCCTTATTTTGCATGCTGCAATGAGCAAAGTAGATTCTGCTTTCTGGGTTTTGAAAAAGTAGCCATCTGATTGCAAAAGCTACCACCAGATGGCATCAAAGCCCATGCCACATTCTATTTCTTTTCTGGTAATTGTTTGGCTTTTTAGCATTGAAGTATAGAGGAAGTTGGGGTGGTAGATTGCCTTTGAGGTGTGGTGCTTCCTCTTCTGTGCAGTTGATTTTTTTGTTTAGCATGCTGAAGGAAGAAGGAATGAAAGAGCCTGAAATCTGGAAACAGATGGAGATGATGGAAGGAGAGCTGAGAGAGCACTGGCTTTATATAATGTTGATGGACAGGCTAGGTAATCTTGATATTAGTGAGCATGGTTTAAGAGCCATCCATCTAAATTGCTAACAATAGAACATTCTACTTTTACCATTACAATCACTGGATCTCTGCACTTTCTTTAAGAGTTATGTCAAGCATAGTGAAAATTGTAAAATCTCAGGATATTGCTGTGCAGGGGTTCTTGGTGATGAATGAAGCAAAACAGTTTGATAACTTGGTCAGCAGGAGTGCATCAGTTCCTGGCTTATCTTGACTAATCTTCAAGTTCTTTGCGTACCTGTTTAATAACAGCATGGCAGGAAACAGTTCAACATGTGAAGCTTCTGCCATCATTCAGTGATGGGAGAGAAAATTCACGGGTATGGAGACTTTCCTTGCCATGTGTGTGTTTAAAGGTGTGGAAGCCTTCCTGGAATTGGGGATTCTGGAGGCATGAAGAAAACAATGGACTCTGGAAGCTCCAGTGTTTGCTGCTGCCCAGTATACTCCTGATGGACCTCTTTAAACTCTTTTAGAGGATGCCTGTATGCGCAACTCCCTCCACAAACAGCAATCCCTCCCACTCCGACCCATCATTCCACTTGTCGCTCGCATCTCTGACCAAAATGCTTCTGGGGCTCCTCCCATGACGGTGCGTGAGAAAACTCGCTTGGAAAAATTCCGGCAGCTTCTGTCCAGCCAAAACACAGATCTAGGTGAGTCCAGGTGTTGGGGTGATCAAAGTACCCCAGGAAACTTTTGTGGTTTCTAGAACTAATAAATAAAACAACCACATCCCTCCTGTTGTGACGCAGGCCTGTTTGGGTTACCATAAATGTCCCTGTGTAACATGAGATTCCAGTGTGAGATAATCCCTAGCCAAGTTAACCGAGAATGTTAATGTGATAATCTTGAAGGAGATCAAACAAGGATTGTATGAGGACTAAAGCAGTAGAGTTGTAGATCTTTACAGAGTCCCAATGATTATATTTGATTTATTATTTTGTTTGCATGAATATTTTAAATCCAATTTTAAATTTCAAAGAATTAAAATAAAAAGAAACATAGTCACCATTGCCGTACATATCTAAGTTACTTACCCAGAGGGGGGGCAAAGTATATTCTTTCTGCCATCTTTAAAAATGCCAAAAAGTTAATATAAATAAATTCACTGTTGTCCCTTTGCAGATGAATTGAGGAAATGCAGCTGGCCTGGTGTCCCCAAAGAGGTTCGTCCTGTGACTTGGCGACTTTTATCAGTGAGTGCTGCATCCTCTGACCTAGGACAACTTGTGTCATCTACATAATGAAAATGTATCCAAGATGCATAACCTGGGCTCCAGGCAAAGTCAGCTCCTGGTTGGATTTTTAGCCCAAGTCTTTCTTAACCAAGCTGCCTGGGATCTCTTGAGAGGAGTATGACACTGTAGCATGGGAGAACAGTACATTTTATGCTTAGGTTTGTAAAAACTGATTTAGAAATAAAAATAGCCCATATGTTATATTAGTTATGCCATGAAAAAGCAAGAATGCCAATGAATTCCAAAGTCAGTCTCGGTAGAAAATGAGAGAAGTTACAGGACAGCAGTATTTCTGACCTCCAAAAAGCCTTACTCCCAAGAAATCTTTATGTGGTGCTTGGAATTGTAGATTCCAAAGTATGACTGTCTCCAATGCTTTTAAGCATTTTATGCAAGGAAAAATGTTGAGAGTTGCAGTTTCATCCCCCGAAGGAGAACTTGATTAGAAGAAGCTGCATTTTTCAAACTTTTGGTTCTACAACCTTTTGTTGGACTCTTGTTAAATCCTATATCCTTTCCTAAAATATTTTCTTGTGGGCTAGCATTGGGCAGGTTGGAGCGAAAATTGGATAGGAATGTGGAACACAGTGGAAGAATTTTGACTTGACAGGGTTTGTCTTCTATAGGGTTATCTCCCTGCCAATATGGAACGAAGGAAGCTGACTTTACAACGAAAACGAGAAGAGTATTTTGGCTTCATTGAACAGTATTATGACTCCAGAAACGAGGAACACCATCAAGATACTTATCGGCAGGTACTCAAGACTTCTAATCTCTAGACTGAGCTTGGCCCCTTATCAATTTGCAGGTAGTTCTGCCCATTATTTGTTTAGTTACGGTTCTTTGCATTTATATTCCCACCTTTTCTGAGCTCCAAAGCATGTATTTAGAAAGTGAGGGAATTTACCTGCAGAACAATAGCCATGTGAGACCGATTGGTTGAGACAATCTGGGCAAGTCACTCAGTGAGTTCTGTAGTCAAATGGGTCTTTCCATTCCAGATTCCCAAATTAACATTGGTAATAATATAGTAGATAATAATATACACTTCCTAGGTGTTATTTGTTGCCAAAACCAGCAGGCATGAAAGTGATCTGACTAATGATCCTAGAACAGGAATAGATAGCATTTTTGCCTTTTAGAGTTATGTCAGATATTGAAGACCATACATTCCAGATATACATATATACCCAGCAGACACATAAACGTATGTATGTACAAAAAAACCTCTGTTCATTCTCTAGGAACTTGCTTGCAGGTCAGTGCTTTTGGGGAAATCCACAACTTTAAGCATGCTTGAGGGGAGGGGAGGGAAGATCTAGTCTCCAACACACCTTGCTCTAGGAAATAAGATGCTTTCTTCCACTTCTTTCCAGAGAGAGAGCCATTGGAGTTGCTTCACTGGAAAGAAAAGAAAAAGCTACACAAGACTTCCCTAATCCTTCCTGTTGAAGCAGCTTTATAATACTGTATTCTTCCTGCCATTGACAGTGTGGGCCGGTTGCTTTTTTGCTGGGAGGAAAGTTCCCCCTATGCTGCCTACAAAACTGATCTCTGGAACTCATAACCACCAGGCTGGTGCACCTGTTGCCTGGGCGTCTTCCAAAAGCTGCAGGCATTCTTGACCCAGAGGGTCTTTTACCTAGGTCTTTTAGGGTAGTCTTTTGAAGGGATCATTCGTGCAAGGCTTGCATAGTTGTGCTGGATCATTAACATATATGCTTGAGTCATCAGCTCTGTTTAGTGGGATGAGCAAGAACATGCTATAATGTTGGTCCTCTGAATCAGCGATACCATTCTATCTTCTCTTTAGATTAGGACATAGAAATATTGCCTTATATTTGCAGATTGCAAGATTTGTTTGCAGTCTTTAATATCTTTTTATTTTCTTAAAAATCATTTTCAGATCCATATAGACATTCCACGGACAAATCCCCTCATCCCTCTGTTCCAGCAGCCATTAGTTCAAGAGGTGAGAAGTTTCCCGCCCCCACCCCCGATAAGCCTTGATGTGGGTGACCAAGGATGCTTACTGTTTTGTCCAATTATTACTGATTTTCTGAGTACTGTTTTAACCAGTTTTAAGATGTGTAACTTCAACTTCCAGCTTGCTGAGGAATTCTGGGAATTCAAGCCCAACATCATAAACTTGCTGAGGTCAAGAAACAATGTTCTAGGCTAAACTGCCTTGTACTATTCAAGGGCATTTCTGATATATATTTAAATCCCACTTTTAAGTATTTTCTTTTCATTCTAAAAATTAGGTGGCTATGTAGTATTATATGCTGCATTTCCAAAATGCAATATACCTAAATGAATCATGCAGGCACACTTATTTTTGCAGGAATGTTTTATCAGTATTCTACCTAAGCTCACCATTTGGGAAATGCAAAAATCATTATGAAATTATGAAAGAATGTACACTGCCACCAAATAAATATTTCCCTGCCTCTTTTTCTTAGGGATATGTATTAATATAAGTGGATAGGATCATGTTGCATTCTGTTTCCCTTTATTTTACCAGCCATTGCTGTGGGGATAGAGACATTTGTAACACAATGGCATTGCATTATATATGATATATTACTAGATGTTGCAGGCAAATCAACAAGAAGAAATATACAGGACTAACATTTCAATCTGCAGCCTAGTAGCTTCAATACTGTCTAATTATGGACTTTTCATACAAATCCATATATTCAAATATTGCATGAAATTACAAACTTTCAACAGAAAAAGATGCAACTACTTCATATTTTTTTTAATTTTTTAGAATGCACTACATAAGATAAAGTGTTTTTCCTACGCACAGTTATATTTAGTTAGTTGCGAGGGTACAATGTTCTGATATTATCTGTCTGTTCAAATCAAGGCATGAAAACCAAGTAATCCATTTATCCAGGCATTTTCCATCCTTCTGTTAGTGATAAGTACCCAGAATAAGTCTTCTGAGGATACTACTAGTATCTAGGAAGTTACTATGAGTAAAAGGTAGGAGTCTGTGTGGGCTTTCTAGATGCTCTCTAGTGATAAGGCTCTGTAGAAATTAAGTCATTATTTTTAGAAACTCTTTAACAGAAACGAGTGACTTCATGAAGGAATAATCTCTGACTCTTTAAGTGTCCTCTCAATGTATACCAGCAGCAAAACTGCATTAAGTCCATATTGTACCAATGAGGTGACTTGCCTAAGAACATAAACTATCTTAGTAGAGTTTTAAATGGCAGACCTCTGGCTAGATTAATTGAATTCAAAATATTAATAACTAAACATGTTATAAGATATAAATTATTGTAGCTTTGACCAGTCTGATTCTACTGATTATTTACTGATGCCTGTAAATCATGCTGTTTCAGTCAAGCTTAAGTGATCTTAATCCATTTCTAGCTCTTGTGTATAGCAGAGATGGGGTTTTTGATATTTAGGAGTCAGCATTGATTGGGTGTGGGAATTTATGATTATTAAAGCAAGGTCTGTCTAAAACATAATAATAGATTGATTCAGTTCTTCAGGTTTATGGAGCATAAATAAATACCTAACAAGGTCCTGTGCTGTTGGCCTTGAAATGTACATGCACATTGTCATGGCTTGTTTTCTGGTGTATGCCCCTTTTCTCCTTGTAGTAGACAAGGGCCTGTGCATACTGTTTAAAAGCTTTGATCAGCTTAAGAGCTAGAATACTTAACTATTAATATAAGTGGTAGTGCTGCAAAACAAACGCCCATGATCAAATTATGATTAATGAGAGCTATCTGTCACAATTATGTTAAATGCCATTGCAGACTAACCTGAAAGTTACAAAATAATCTGTGCAGACTCTTGAAAGGAAAACTGGTCAGGAAATTTATACCAAGGGCACTGAGGTATTGCTTATATTGTTCTGCCATGACACGTTTCCTACAATGAGCAATAAATGCCTCCATCAAGATTTTGTATTCTCGAAACAACAGATTTCAGTTGCTTGTCTACTAAATTCAGTCATTGTGGATGCAAATGTAACAGAGAAGCTATTTATTTATTATTAATGTTTCATGAAGTGTAAACAACATATATTCTGGAGAATGCCAGTTCTCTCAATTACAGAAATCACCATGAGGACTTGAAGCATGCTGGGGTTAATGTTTCTGAATCTGGTATGCAACTAGAAAACATATCAGGGGCCTCAATTCTGAGTCCTATTCTTATATTTGAAGGAAACAAGAGAATCTAGAGCACCTCTGTCAAAGAGCTGCAATGTATGGTCTGTCAGGCCTTGCTGATTCTGCAGAAGTGATTTATTGAACTTGACAGTGTGTTTTGGGGCTGCTGTATACATATTAGCAGTAGCCTCATCCTAAGGTTCATGAATTTCAGCCATACCAGATAATTGTGAGAAGGCCTTTTGTTGCCTATATTAATCCATAAGCAAGAAGCCCCATTGCAGAAAATGAGGAACTTTTAACAGTAGATATAAGAGCATCTACAAAATATATGATAGTGACTTTGGAAAGACCCTTACATAACAGAGGTAGGAGACATGTTGGACTAGAACAACAGGAAATTGCCTTAATCCACATCAGAATACTTGTGAATTAAGCCCAAAATTTTGTATTCTCCGGGATGTCCAATAGTCCTCCCCCCCCACCATCTTTTGTTACCTGCTCTTTTGAACTAGGCTTGACATTCATTAAACTTGTTATGAAACATCCATTTGAAAGATATCAGTTAAAGATGATCCTCAGTTTACAACCATTTGCTTAATCATAGTTCACATTAATGACAGTACTGCCAATCTGGTGCCTTTTGTTCCCTTTGACTGAAATATTTGAACAAATAAGCAGGCGTGAGGCTTAATTGGCCAGTGTTTTTTTTTCCCCTCCTCTTAAAAAGAAGCAACTTTGAATTTTGTAAGGAAAGGTTTAAAAAGTTGAGAAGGTATCTGATCTTCTCCAGAGCTTGCTTCTTTTTTCCAATGGCTATGGATCTGGGTTGAAACAACCTCAGGATTCCACCCATGAACATGTGACCTTGGAGGAAGTGAAGCCAGGTAATCCCCTCAGCTTGTAACCCTCTTAATCATAGACAATGCAAAAGGATAGATAAACTCTTTTCAGAGCAGAATATTCATCTATGATTATTCTGAATTACTGCTGACTTCGACACATGGCATCCTAGGAGCCAGGTACACTGTATACTGAATCTTCTTTTGCTGCTAAGAACCTCAAACCTGTCTAATTCTTTAGTCACTATGCATTTCTAACTCTTATCACAGCCTCTTCCTCACCTGCTCTTGTTCAGGCTTTCTCCTTCTTCCTCTTTCCTTGGGCATGGCTAACTCAAGCACCCGGCTTTCCTTCTTCCTCTCTAGATCTTTGAACGAATCCTGTTTATCTGGGCCATCCGACACCCTGCCAGCGGCTACGTGCAAGGGATTAATGACCTGGTCACTCCATTCTTTGTTGTGTTCCTCTCTGAATATGTTGGTAAGCGATGCTTGATGGCTGAAGTATATGACTAGCTCTTGCTGTTGGATACTCAGATTGTCATCACTCGATCAGCTTCATCCTCCCTGAAATGCTTTGCCATTACAGTATATCACCATCATATCTCTCCTGGATTAGCTTTTGTCAGCCATGTCTTAAATCTGACAGAAAAAGGTTTTTTGTGGGAGGCGGTGATATTGTCTAGCTGTGATTGTCAGTAGGGTAAACAAGTCATTAGTAAGAAAAACTCCACAAAGAGTAATGGCTGCGGTAGTGTCATACTTACATTGTTTGTCAAAGATAGCAGCATTTTGCAATCAAGATGCATTATGCAAATGACAAATTTTATCAAGTAGTAGGAGGGCTCTGCTTCTGAATTGTTTAGAAAGGTATAGAATGGCACTACCCCTGATTACAATTTTGTATCTTGTAAGATACATGGAAATAATTCCACCTTCTTTTTAGAATAATCTGGCATGGTTAATGAATTAAAAGATCTAGTCATGGAACAGATTCTTTTTTTTTTCTTTTACATTAAAGCAGTGCTTCTAATTGAAGTCCACCTCTTTTACCCTGTACAGTGGAAACAAAAATACTCACCAGCAGTTAATACTGAACCAGGTAGCACATTCTATCAGTTTTAATAATATTGACATGCAGAAAAAATGGCTTTGAGAATAGAATTTAGGAATAACATTTAAGAAAAGAAAGAGCTTTTCAGAGAAACTGTATAACATATAATAATAGCGATGTGTTTTTAACTTAGAGAAAAAACATCAGAAAAAGCACCAGAAAATAATCATGCAGCCTATATGGGTCAAGTTATATACTCAGAGAATTATTAGTTTAAAAGCTGGTATAAAGAAATCTGACTGGTTTGTGTTGGCTCAGAATCAAAGCAGCATCAGGTGTACCTAGTACCTGTATCTAGTTGTAGGCCAGATACAGAAGGATCAAAAAGACATTCTGATGATGTCAATGCCAGACTGATACTATCACATTTAGATGATCTGTTTCTGTAAGATTTATTTAGTTAAAAGAATAATGAAAAAAATAAAATCAAGTTCTGCAAATCCTCCTGCCATTGATCAAACTTATTTATACAGATAATTCATACACTATTCATTTGTTTAATTGCCAATTGACCTGCATTGATAGTCCTCATAAATTATTTTTTTACTGTGCATCAAAGATTAGTAATCCAATTTTTGCAATTTCTTGGAGAATGGAATAAATGACTGGAAGCAATGAAACAGGATAAGAGATGTATTTTGAATATTGATGATTATTTGAGATCATGCCTTAAATATATACAGTAGGTGTTCTCTCCTAATTATAAATGAGATAAAATAGAACGTGAAAATAATGGATAGTAAGGAATGGCATGGAAATTGAATATTCAGCTCTCTTGGTTATTGGTATATTGTGCCTTAAATGTTTTTATTTTTCTAAGTCTGGAAATACGATCATTTAGTCTTTTGATTTTCATGACATGCTCCTACTTGCCATTCTAGGTATATATCTAATGATATGACCGTTCATGTTCTAAATATGGTTGATGAGGAACTTTCCGTGCAGGATGGCTGCTTCTTCATTTATACACATGAGCTTCATGGCTGGCTACTGGGGGTGGGGGGCTAATTGGGCCCACTCGTCTGTTCTAGGAAAACTTTATATCAGTTACAGTTCTTAACAGTCTTATCAGTAGAACTTGTAAGATAATGCTTCATTTGAATTTTGTTCTATGGAATGATTAATTCTGTTTAAGAAGCATTCAAAATATTCCATGTGGTATTTAATGATTAAACAATAAATTTATCATTATCAATTACTGCCAATGTCTTTCCCAATCAATTTGTCAGTGACCCTCCATGGGAAAAATAGAATGATTAACTTGCATATTATTATAAAACACTTCTGACTGATGGTAATATTAGGCACTAACTAAGCCTCACTATGAGGAGGGTAGCCCAAGAATAGTGCTTTCACTAAAAAGGCCATTCCCTGGTTATTTTCCTGGGCAGACCATTTAACTCTTCCTTGCATACAATAATGTAGCTTCTCCTGGGAAGTGATGTTTCAGAATCTGGAACTCACAGCGGCCTTTCCGCTATTTCTGTCTTCGATAGACTTCCTTGAGTAGCTGCCCATCAAATGTGTTTTGAGCTGTTTCTGGTATATCTGCCCCTTATCTAGCTTATACTCCAGTGGCTGAATCAGCAAACCAGCAAGCACTCTCATGACATTTGTATAGGAAAATCACTGCTTTATTTGGAGATAGGCATTCTTAATTGGTTATCTCCAATAAAAATAAACTGGTCCCGACACTTGTACCTCTTAACGTTGTATTTGCTGGATTCTTGCCTTATCCTTGTGTAGTGATGAATATTCTTGGCACATTAGGTCACTGCTGCTCATTAATCATTCTTTAGTAGAGATAAGGTTGCTGACACCCTCATTTTTAGATCAATTTGAGAAGTCTACCAAAGATTAGCTCTTTGATATATATGTCAGATCATTTGTTTGGGTTTTGAGAGAGGTCTATATTTGTTCATGATCATTCAGTGAATTAAATTACAGAAAACAGCCAAGGAGTTTACAAAGGAAGTTATTTCTGAAATCATCCATTGGCACCACTAGTACACATGCCATACCATACCATACCATACCATACCATACCATACCATACCATACCATACCATAC